CTAAAAATTATGGCCACACACATATCTCTTGACCCAGCAGTTCTATTCTAGAAATGTATACTGTGTGATATAGTCCACATCAGTAATAAATACAGTAGGGGCACCTGGGTGGCTTGGTTGGTTAAGTGTCCGACTCTTGGTTTCAGCTCAGGTCCTATTTCATGGGTTGTGAGATGGACCCCGGGTCTGGCTCCCCACTCAGTGGGAGTCTGTTTGGATATTCTCTCCTTCTCCCCTTTCCCCTGCTCATTCTCACTCTCTTCTCTCTCTCTTAAATAAATTTTTCTCTTTTTTTTCAAATAAATTTTTCAAAAGGGCCTTCTTCCTTTAAAATATTTTTTTAAATAATAAGTATGCTAGATGACTCACATTGTATTTGGTAGCCGTGTTTGTAATAGCAAAATATTGGAAATACCCTACATCTCTGTCAGTAAAGGACAAGAGAAAAATAGGTATGTACACACAATGGAGATCTATGTGGCTGTAGAAGAAAAAAAAAGGAAACTCTCTATGTTGTATTAGGGCAAAAGGATGAAACTATATTTTTTTAAATATTTTATTTATTTATTCATGAGAGACACACAGAGTCAGAGACACAGGCAGAGGGAGAAGCAGGCTCCACGCAGGGAGCCCGATGTGGGACTCGAACCCGGGACCCTGGGATCACGCCCTGGGCTGAAGGCAGACGCTCAACTGCTGAGCCACTCAGGCATCCCTAGGATGAAACTATATTAAATAATAACTCAGAGTGTCAAACAGAGGTTGTATGGTATGTTATTGTTTGTTTAGAGTGTGTATTATGTGAAAATTCTTGTATATGTATAGAAAAGCTCTGCAAGAACATGTCACAATCCAGAGCAAAACTGGGAGCAGCTGAGGGCAGAGGCAGAAGAGAGATCAGCACTGGAAACCTCTTTGATACTTTTCAAATTTTATATAATACATGATATGATCCTGATAAAATAAATACAATGAGAAAGCTTTAAAACACTGGAAACTAGGGGCGCCCGTGTGGCTCAGTCGGTTAAGTATCTGTCTTTGGCTCAGGTCATGATCTCAGGGTCCCAGGATCGAGCCCTGCATTGGGCTCCCGGCTTGGTGGGGAGTCTGCTTCTCCCTCTCCCTCTGTCCCTCCCCTTGCTCATGCTTTCTCTCTCTCTCACACACACACACATAAGTAAATAAAATCTTAAAAAAAAAAAAAAAACATCGGCAGCTAAGTAAAACTTGCATGTAGACCTGATGTAACCCGGAGGCTGCCAGCCTATGACATCTGGCTTGTCCATTCCGACCCTCATTCATAGGGAACTGACAACACAGTGAGACCGCTAGGGGACTTCCTCTGATCACTCAGGAATCATCAGGAGATGCTTCTGCACCCTCACTGGTATAAAGTGAGAGAAGAAAAAGATAAATCAACCGACAATGGCCAAGGGCTTGGGAAGGGAGCTGAATTCATTTCCTGTTGCTGCTGCAACAAATTACCATAGCCTTAGTGGCTTAAAACTACTGAATTTCTTCTGGTACAGTTCTGGAGGTTAGAGCCCCAAGTGACTTTCACTGCGCTAAAGTCAAGGTGTTATCAGGGCTGGTTCCTTCTGGAGACACTGAGTGGAGAGCCCAGTGTCCTCGCATCTCTCGAGCTTCTAGTGGCCACCTTTACTCCTGGGCTTTTTTTTTTTTTATTGGAGTTATTAGATTTGCCAACATATAGTGTAACACCCAGTGCTCATCCCATCAAGTGCCCCCCTCAGTGCCTGTCACCCAGTCACCCCGTCTCCCCACCCACCTCCCCTTCCACTACCCCTTGTTCCTTTCCCAGAGTTAGGAGTCTTTACTCCCAGCCAGATAATCTCCCCCATCTCAAGATCCTTAACTCAATGACATCTGCAAAAGCCCTTTTGCCATGGAAGGTAATATTCCCAAATTTCAAGGTCATTATTCGGCCACCGTGGAGACCATCCACACACCAGAGATTCTGACACATTTCTGGGAGACAGACCAGGTAAAGGCTTGATCCAGAGTGAAGAGGTCATTGCATTCAGGAAAGGGCTGCAGGGAAGAGGGAGCCCGGTATGACCAGAGTTGCAGGGAGTAGATGAGAGTGAGAAAAGACAGCCAAGGGGGGCTCAGATGTTAGTCTGTACCTCAGCCTCCCCTCTTCCCCAGGCCACCCAACATTCACATACAGGAAAATAAGAACCAGAGGGCAGTTCCTTAAAGAGATCCAGCTCTCCGATAGCATCTCAGGGTGGGTGCTGGCTTCTGAAAAAAGCCATTCCTAGGGATCCCTGGGTGGCGCAGCGGTTTGGCGCCTGCCTTTGGCCCAGGGCGCGATCCTGGAGACCTGGGGTCGAATCCCACTTCGGGTTCCTGGTGCATGGAGCCTGCTTCTCCCTCTGCCTATGTCTCTGCCTCTCTCTCTCTCTCTCTCTCTCTCTCTGTGACTATCATAAATTAAAAAAAAAAAAAGCCAGTCCTAGTCTGGCACTGGTGGAGGCGGGGAGGGCAGCGCCAAGCGGGGCTCTTGGCCTCTCACCCACCCACATGTGAGGCCAGCCTGAAGGCAAGCCCCACACCCAGACACAAAGCTGCCATTCATGCTCCAGCTCAGGCCAGAGGCCCGAAGGGAAACAGTCCAGCATTTGTAACAGGAAGCACAGCCCCATCGCCTACAGACACTAGCCTTGTCGTCATCTGAGTTTGGCAAGGAGCAGGCAAGGATCACCACCACACAGGACCCAGTCGAGGTGGGCATGCTGTATTGACATGGACTTTTCTGAAAAGTACTGGCCAGTTACCTGGCATATATCCCCTGATTATTTATATATATACAATTATATATAAGTATATGTTATATATACATTATATAATTATAAATTATATATTATATATGGTAATTATTATATTATATATTTTATATATTATATATATGTATTTTCAATGTCTGATTGTTTCCTGGTAATTAAATGTTAACTTTTTTCCCCCTACAAGAATTCTGCATTCTGCATGGTAATTTTATGTGCTTTCTCTAGTGTCACATCAAGAGATCCTTGACATCATGCTGTCCATCTATTGGGGATATTGTTTGATCATTTGGTTAAGAGGGTGTCACCCTCCTCACTAGGTAGGTACATTTTTCCCGTTAGCAATGAATAAGTCATCAGCTGGATAATAATTCTGGACTGTTCTCCAACATTTTACCAATGGTTTTAGCATCCTTTGATGATCCAATTTTTTTAAAGATTTTATTTATTTATCCATGAGAGACAGAGAGAGAGACAGAGGCAGAGACACAGCCAGAGGGAGAAGCAGGCTCCAAGCAGGGAGCCGGATGTGGGACTCGATCCTGGATCTCCAGGATCATGCCCTGGGCTGAAGGCAGCGCTAAACCACTGAGCCACCCGGGCTGCCCTGATGATCCAATTATTTTACTGGGGACCCTCTGTGAGTTTTCCCCCTAATTTATCTGTAATAAACCGCATTACTTGATGAAATAAATTGTTTAGCGCCTGTAAACTTGCATAAACTATGTAATCCGCACCTGGTCCACAGTAGGTGGTTAATAATGGTATCAGTTTTAAAAATAATCGCCGCGATTTATTACGCACAAACCGACCTGCTTCATTAATTAGGCCCCCAAACTCTCCAAGCAGTAAGACACGACTAAAATGACATCAGGTTATTTATAACTTCTATTCCATTAAGTGTGTAGTCCTCTATATGCGCTTTGAAACAGAAGTACCACGTGGTGGTGGAGTACTGTCTGTACCCTGCTGGGAATACTGCAGAACCCGTATATGGTATAATCGTTCCACAGCCTTCTAAAATTAAAAAAAAAAAATCCGCACTCCAAACCATAGAGTTCTAAGTCTCTCAGGTAAAGGACGGTGTGTGGATCTGTACTAAAAATACGACCAATAATACCAGAGTTTTACAACCCACAGTAGAAAATGCTTCTTAAGGCGGTTGGTATCAAGGAGAGGTCACGTTCATTCGGCGCTGCACGCGCAGGACCTCGCTCCATCCTCACGGTGGCGCTGCGGCGCCTCGCTGGGTCTCCCCGCAGAGGGGACCTGGGGAACCCACGCTCCAAGCCTGGCCTGCCCTGTGACCCCCCCCCCCCCAAACAAGAGACTTGCAATGCGTGCAAAGGCCACGTAACTCCAGGCCTCAGTGTCTCGTGAGCGTCGTCCTCGGGGTCACGCATATACAGCCTTCATTTAGCTCGGGGCCTGCCACGGACTGGGACTGGCCGGGGAGGCCTGGCCTTCAGAGGGGTGGCTCTGGGATGCCCCCAGGTCAGTCCCTGGAGGTCCCCTGGGCGATCGAGGGCAATCGCAAGGAGCTGGGACGGGCCCCCATCCCTTACTGGTAGCTGAACCTCGGGTTAGTTCATAGGCCTACAGTTGAGGGGAGCGGGCGGGTTTCGAAAGCAGGGGCGCAAGGGTTGTGGCTGCCGCAGAGAAGTGTGTGTGCGGCAGGGAGGTTCCACTCAAGAACAGACCCGGGTCCTGAGACTCCACGCTGGGGACACGGCGTGAACGCGCGAGAATCCCTGCGGATGGGCACTTGACCCCGCGCCCCAACCGGGCCCGGGGTCGCAGGCACGGCTAAGCCGTCCCCGGCGCGGGCCCGATGGGGGGAGAGACGTTTGAACGGCGGAGGCGGCTGCAGGCAGGAGGCAGGAGGCCGGCATGAGAAGGGACCAGAACCGGGGGGAGGAGGCAGCTGGAACCGGGCCCACCGGGGAGGCTCTCGGGGAGGTGGCCCTCGCCCCGCGGAGGTGGCTGCGGTGGGCACCGGGTGTCAGGCCGCACGGCGCCCGCAGCAGGTCCCCACGTGGGCCACGTGCGGGCGCTCCAAGGGGCGGGCCCCGGGTCCCCGAGCGCGGGGGCTGCGTCCCCTCCCCGCCGGCCTCCGGCAGCTGCGCCCTCCCCCGGCGCCTGCAGCCTCCCGGATCCCGCCCCTGCCTCGCGCCCGCCCGCCGCAGCCGCCCGCCCGCCCGCCCGCCGATCTCCGAGCCGCCGGCCCCCGCGCCCGCCGCCCGGCGTCCTCCCCCCGCCCCCGCAGAGGGCCGACCGCCCAGACCGCGGGTCCCGGGGCTCCCTGGGCGGGGCCGACCCCAGGGAGCCCCCTGACTGCCTCCCAGAGCCGGGTAGGGAAAGGGATCCTAGCCCGCCGCCGCCTCCGAGCTGGCCGCCAGGTGAGCGCCGGGACAGGTAGGGACGCAGGTCGGGCCCCGTGTCCCGTCCGCACGCCCAGCTGGGGGAGCCCGGGGAAGGACTTCAGCCCCAGACCCGGCCGGCAGGGGCGGGTCCCCGGGAGTCCCGTTCCCCAGCGCCCCCTGCCCGGGCCCCGCCCGGGTCCCCGGCCGCGTCCCCGGCCGCGCCAGCCAACTGCGCCCCAGTGAGTCCAGAGTCAGGTTTCAAAGGCCCCAGGTCGTACGGAAAGGAAAGGGCTTTGCTTTTAAAACGGGTCTCCTGACGCCCCCGCCGTCCACTCCGCTGCTCCCCAGCCGAGGCCACCCTGGGACAACCCTCCCCCCCCCCAAAAAAAAAGTACCGGATCAACACGTGTACGCGGCAGCCCGCGAAAGGCCAGACCACTTTTCTGATTTCTCTCCTCGCTGGCAGCCCCTTCGCCAAATCGGTGAATCAGAAGCCTCCGAGCACCGGTTCTTGATTTAGCAAGTTTGTTTTTAGCTGCGGCCGCGCTTCCCAATTTAAGATTCGTTCTTCTGAGTTAACTTTTGCAGCGTTGAGTAATATTTTGTAGCGCTCCGTATCTTGTTCCTGTCGATCGGGAGCCTCCAGCCTCGGAGAGCATCCAGTAGCCTAACACTTTGGAAAGAGCGCAATATTAGGAACCTACTTGTAAAAGAAATGCTTTCTGAAGGCCCCCAGTAGGACCCGAGAACCAAAGAGCAGTAAGGCCCACAAAGCTCTGCATCGAACCCAGCCCTTTAAACAGCAGCCCCGCAGTCCGCTACAATTGTGTGTAATTAAATAACTTTTTCAGATATGGCAACAGTAACTCGTGATCTGTGGTGTTTCGGCTTAAATTTTTGCTCCTTTTTGTTCCTCTGGTAGTTACTTACAGACCTTTAAAGCAAACCCTGGGATTATTTCTTATTTTGTCAACTTTTAGACAATGTCCAGTAATCCCTTGCTAAAAATAGATGGAGACAGCGTTCCTGGTCTCCGAGTCTCTCTCCTCCCCGTGTAATCCCACATTACTTGTGACTTCTCTATTGGCTGCCTTTGTAACATCAAAAAAGAAGAAAAAAAGTTTTTGTTTTTGTTTTTAACGTGTTTCTTTTTCCATGAAATATTTATAGGATCTGTTGACTCTCCATTTAGTGAGGTCTGGCAGAGGAATCTGCCTTAATATTTTTTTAAATATGTTTTTATATTTATTTAAATAGTATTTTTTTTCATCCAATCAAGTCATATTATGTGGTTTGTAAATCAAATAGAAATGAGTCTACCTTTTTTTCCCCCTATTATAGAAGCACTGTCTCTACGAAAATAGAAGGAGGGGTAGTGTTTTAGACTCAAAGGGATTAGGGGGACATGACCACCCCCAGCTCTGTGTGAGTCCCCAGTATTGTCAGAAATCCCTACAAAAGTCCATGGAAACAATGGGGAAAATCATTCATGGAATGAATATTAGATAGAATGGATGTCTCTTAAGAAATGGTGTTCAGGGATTCCTGGGTGGCGCAGTGGTTTAGCGCCGGTCTTTGGCCCAGGGCGCGATCCTGGAGACCCGGGATCGAATCCCACGTCAGGCTCCCGGTGCATGGAGCCTGCTTCTCCCTCTGCCTGTGTCTCTGCCTCTCTCTCTCTCTCTCTCTCTCTCTGTGACTGTCATAAAAAAAAAAAAAAAAAAAAGAAATGGTGTTCAGTGGTAGTGTAGACCTATAGTGCCCCCTTATTCTGTCTTTTTTTAATCTTTCTTTCTTTCATTTCTTTCTTTCTTTTTAAAGATTTTATTTATTTATTCATGAAAGACACACAGAGAGAGGCAGAGACACAGGCAGAGGGAAAAGCAGGCTCCATACAGGGAGCCTGATGCAGGACTAGATCCCGGGACTCTGGGATCAGGCCCTGAGCCAAAGGCAGACACTCAACCAGTGAGCCACCCAGGCATCCCTCTTTTTTCTTTTTTTTTTTTTAATTCAATTTAAGTAACATATAGTGTATTATTAGTTTCAGGGGTAGAATTTAGTGATTTACCAGTTGCATATAACACCCAGGGCTCATTACCCCTTACTCTCTCTTAGAAGATGCACATCAAAGTGTTTAAGAATTCACAAAAGATAGAAAGCAAATATGGCAAAACATGGGACATAATAGAGATGTGCATTTTACTCTCCATTCAACTTTTCCATGAAACTTTTATGATAAAATTGGGGGGAAATAAAGTAAGACAAAGTAGAAACTAAGGAGATCAAGACATATTTACGTACGGTGGCACAAACTCTGGAGTCCTCCACACCCAGGTTCAAATCCCAGCTCTGCCCCTTGCATGTCAGGTGACCTCCGTCCATGGCTCCACTTCTCCAGCCTGTTTCCCCAGCTCAAAACTGGACCTGTTTGTGAGACATCTGTGAAATTGTGTAAAGCCCTGGCCCCTTGTGAAGAGCAGTTGTTGCAGTTAACTGTAGCTATTAGTTGTGAAGGATTTTTCTTAACTATCATAGTGTGCTATGCTAACATCATAACCACAGTTGGGTCCTTCCTTCTACTCTTTTTTTCTAGAGATAGGTTTTTTTAAAGATTTTATTTATTTATTCATGAGAGACACACAGAGAGAGGCAGAGACACAGGCAGAGGGAGAATCAGGCTCCCTGCAGAGAGCCTGGTGTGGCACTTGATCCCAGGACCCTGGAATCACACCCTGAGCCAAAAGCAGACGCTCAACCATGAAGCCACTTAGGCGCCCCAAGATAGATTTTTTTAAGTAGGCTCCACACCCAACTCTGGACTTGAACTCACAACCCTGAAATCGAGACCTGAGATCAAGAGTCAGCTCGCTACCAGCTGAGCCACCCAGGCACCCTCAGATAGATTTTGAACTTGGCATTTTCTTTTTCTGTTTTAAAATTCACCCAATGGCTCTGATCTTGCCATTGGTCTTTTTTTTTTTTTTTTTTTTTTTTTTTGCCCTGCTGTGTTTGGTCCTGACTTCCTAGGCACTGGTCCCCTGAGCACCCCCTTCCTGTGGTGAGGTTTCAACGACGGCATGATGCTGACACGGAGGTGAGGTGGGTGCTCTAATCCCACCTCACCTCTGTGACATCCAGGGCCAGGCCTGGATCTCACTTAATTTTCCCGTAACCACAAAGAGTTGGGAATTATTAGAAGTTCACAGTGTCTTATCTAAAACTTTGGGGCCCAGATGAGTTGGGGAAGTCAGACTTTCTGAAGGTGAGGCAAGTCATGGGGAACCCATTCTGAACATTACAGAAGACCCATGGGGGTGCCGGGGAGCACCGTGTAATCAAACACACAGGTATGGCTTCGGTGAAATGCGTGTTCATACTCGGTGGGATAATCAAACCTCATATCAGTTTGGCTCATTTTTGCCACCAAATGGGTCTGGGAAAGACTTCCAGTTTTCAGAGCTTTTTTGGATTTGGGGACTGGAGAGAGGATTCTAAGTGTACCTGCATTTCTCATTTTACAGAGAGGAAATTCCACTCAGAGAGGGAAGGTCTGATCTCCCCAAGGTCATGAGCAAGAGTTCGGGGTGGGGCTGAGCAAGGGGTGACTGACCACAGAGAACCTGCCAACATTCACCTCCACCCCAACCCCCTCCTCTGAGGCCTGTCACCAGCAATTCCCCAAAGCAATGTCCTTTGCCTGCCTTGTGATGCCTTCTCGCCCAGAAATATCATTGCTGCCTCCTGGGAATGAGATGATGTGCAGAAAGAATTTTCCGGAGTGCCTTACACAAAGAAAGCACTCGGCAAATGTGAATTATAATTTGTGCTAAGATGCGATGAGACCATTTCCTTCTGGGGTTCGATAATATCAGTGGTGTTTATCGAATAGCATTAGTAGTTTTTAAATTATGAAATATAACATCCACACACGAGAGCTTTCCTGTGTGCATCGGGTTAGCAGCCTTCTCCCTCCCGCAGGGGGACCACCACCCTGACTTTTATGATACTCATTTTCCTAGTTTGCTCTTCTTTATATGATTTTAAGACCTATGTGTTCATCTATAAACAATATTGGATTAGGTTAGCCTGTTTGTGAACTTTCTGAGAGCAGCACCCTTGGTGTGAGTAGACAATTTAGCATCCAAGCCAGGAAATTTTGGAAGCACTAGGGGGTGGCTAATTACCCTAGTTACCCTGGGACTGTAGGTATTGTAGACCAGGACGCCCCAGGCAACTCAGGCTGTCTGGTTGTCCTAGGACTCACACTCTTGGTGCCCTGTGTGTCTGGCTGTCTTTAACCCCAAATTAAGCTTTTGAGGTTCATCCAGGTCGGTGTGGATGCTTGTTAATTCCTATTTATCACTACCCAGCGTACCATTCTGTGACTACCTTAATTTACTTATACATCCTACAGTGGATGGGCATCTGGGTCATTTCCAGACTGGAGCTATTAGAAACAGTCATGTCATGAATATTCTAGTATGTGTTTCCTGGCTCTGGGGTCAAATTGCTGGGTCAGGGGACAGGCATATTTTCAACTTCAGTGAAAAATGCCCATCTAAGGGTGCCTGGGTGGCTCAGTCGGTTAAGCATCTGCCTTTGGCTCAGGTCCTGGGGTCCTGGGATCGAGCCCCGCATCAGGCTCCCTGCTCAGCGGGAAGCCTGCTTCTCCCTCTCCCCCCAACTCACGCCTGCACCCATGTTTGCTCTTTCTCTCAACTAAATAATTTTTAAGAAATTTTAAGAAAAAAAAATGTCCATCTCCTCTCCAAAGTGGTTAGACCAATTTATACTCCCATCAGGACTATATGTGTGTTCTCACTGATAGCATTTTAAGTAAATGATGGTGATGATTTGCACTGCTTGGTTGATTGGTTCGTTGGTTTAAAAAGAAGCATGTTCTTTATTATGTACCACGTTCATTGCACTCAAGTTAAAATACAGCAAAACGAGAAAAAAAAAAATACAGCAAAAAGCCGAAGGAACTTTACCTCCCATGTCACCCACACCGTGGCCCAGAGGGCACGTGGGTC